ATAATAAGAGCTCATGGGAAAAAGTATCACGTTGAAGTGCTTTGTAGCAAAACAAGAACATAGAATCGGTCTGTTTTTCAGTTTTCGCTGCAAGCTGCACTCGGAAATCATGCTTAGGCGCACAGGTTTCTGGAGTAGGAACATGGATAGTCAAGAATCACCGATGCTGAGGAATTACCATCCGTTCACTGTAAATATGATAACTGCAGACCTGCATAGGATACGATGAAGACTATTATACACGTACACTAGTGACCACAGGCTTTTTTAGTCTCTGCTGACAACCGGGGAACCGACAGAGGCACAACAGAGATGGTACTTATTTTCCCTTATTTTCTCAGGGAAGTTATCAGGAACATAAATTTCGACAATGAACAATGACACGTCCTGCTCGACCCTTAACCAATACCCAGTTCTCATCTGTAAAGTCACACATTTCTGTTATGTTTGGTGGCTAAACCTCGTAAACGCTTCGAACGGCGGGAATGAGGGTATAATTCTTGTGTCTTCATAAAGACTATAACATCCTCGGCCTCCAACACAAAATCGCATCCAGTGAGCGACAGTGACTCCAGAGGCAGTCAGGATTTATTTCGGTCGCCTTAACAAGAAAGCAAATTCGCGATCCGTGATGGAATCGAGGAATAGGATGCCTCAGCAGAACTCGTCAGAGGTAGCGTTGCTTGCTTCCTACTGAAAGGGGCTAGAAAATGTGCCCCAACCAAACGCCGCGAACCGCTCGGGTTGCAACCTGGTCCTTGCTCGTGGACGCAGAATACGCGGTCGTAACACAACCCCCGTTCCCAGTCTTGTGCTGCTGACAGCCCAGAACGCCTGCCAACTTTAAGACAGTGCGCCAGGCAATCGACCCGAAAAGAACCCATGATCCACTCACTTGGAGAAAGACTTGCCACAGGGCGGACATCGCAGCCCTTAATGTGACCGCTTCTCCTAACAAGCATACCTGGACGAAGTGGGTTTCAGACATCGCCTGAGGGTAAACTTCAAGGGTTAAGAGGCTTAAATCGCCTTCGCAGTCAAGGACGACCTCAGGAGACTGGCCTGTTTCATAAATATGGCCGCAATTAATCAGCCACTATCATCCGCACCTAAGCCATCCCAATAACCAAGCCCAACGACATGGAGATCAAACTCATTGAAGAACAGTACACTCTGGTAAACACTGTGCAGAAGACGGACAATTTGATTATTCTAAATTAATTCAATGTCCGCGAGTAGGCATACATCCTTCTAACTTTGTGGGAGCTAGGTCGCCAGGGGAGCGGCATCTGAAACAGCAATAAACGCCTTCCATCTTCCAAGGGATGACGTGAATGAACCCTCCCTGTAGGCGTGACCAGCGATAAGTGCAAGCGACCAAGATAATGTGAGGGGGAGAGACTGTTGGACGGATCACGACTCAGTCGCCTTCAATGCGAGGCTGCAACTGCATGAGACACGAGAGAAGCCAGCACTAGGCCAGTTAAATGCTGTTTTATTGGAGAGGGCTGAAAGCTGATTGAGTTTCGCCAATCACATGACACCCATTCTCGAACAAGTACAACCTCTGGAGGGAATGTCACTGTTAAGAAGTAATTGAGGGAACTGTGTGAAGTAAACACTCATTCGCCTTCGGAGCCCTCGCTCGCGCACACTGTACGAACCAGGGCTGGTTTAATTGACTGAGCCTGCGACGGCCGTCCATCTTTAGCACCTAACAGCAGGAGGGGCAAGTTTGGGAAAAAATACGCGTAAATTCGCTCAGGCGAATGCGCGCGTGACAGGTGTCTTTAGGCGTCGCCTTACTAATTCGCTTGCTGCGTCTCCCAGAAAAAGCGGTCTCAGAAATAAATCTCCTTCTTTTGTAGTTACCATGAAAGTCTTTACGGCACGCTTCCTAATTTTCCGTAGGATGTAGATCCTGGAGCCTTGCCTCAACTGTTTTAGGGAAATAGATATTCCGGCCACTTGGCTGACTCCAAGTGGCGATCACAAGCCGCCCCAACCGGCGCGTGCATGACCTTACGCGTTTCGTCGCCACCTACGCCAAGTAACAATCAATAAGATTAAAACGCTGGTTACGCACCCGCCGGCACGCAACGCGGATTACAATACCCCTGAAACAATGTCAAACGCACCCAACTTAAAATCATGGACAACTTCTTCTGCCTGGGAGTCAGGCAGTCGGGGAACATAAAAATCAAGGACGATGTGGCTCATCAGATCTATAAAGCCTACAGAAATTCGGCCGGTTGCAAGCCTCCGTGTGGAACCGCCACGACCTTAAACTTAACATGAAACTGAAGACGCACAAGGCTGTCGTGTTAACAACACCCCTACATGGGGCGAATGAATAAACTGTCTACTCCAGCCAAGCCAGGAAACTTAATCACTCCCATATCAGTTACCTCTGCAGAAAACATAAGTCGACATGGCATGACAGAATGCCCGATACGGAGGTCCTGAAGCGGGCCGGAATCATTAACATTCACGGTACGTTGAGGCAACTGTTACTACGATGGAGAGGCCATCGCATGAGAATGGAGGACGATCAATTACCTAAACGCCTCTTCTAAGGAGATGTAACTACAGGTGTTCGCCGCGAGAGAAAAAAAACAAGACACCACAACAACACCTGAAAAAAAACAATCAGGCAACTGCAAATCAAACCGGAGACTTGGTAGGACCTCGTCCAGGACCGATCGGACGGAAGAAGAGCATCAATAACGAAGCCAACCGGATCGCCGCTGCCAAGACCAAAGGAGTAGCTCACAAGTCGCGAGCGCTTCGAATGCACAACACCAACACCTAATTCCTATTAACATGCCCACACTGCTAACACACATTCCGACCGCGAATCCTACTGATAGAAAACCTCAGGACGCAATGCAACAACAATTCGAGAACATCAACTGCTACGTCTACACACAGCCCCACTGTCATTGCGGCCTCAAACCCCACGGTGACAATGATGACAAACACCTCCAATTGGCAGTGATCGCACTCCCAGCAACGCCATCCTGCCTGCCTCAAACCCCGTGTTGATCACAGCGACCTCCACCACTTACGCCAATCGCACAACCCCTGACACCAATTCCGACGTCCAATCGAGTGCTACCTTAACCAACGCTTTCGCTGCCTCTTCCACCGGCAATGGAGACGCAACCCTAACCTGACATAATTTCGATCGCACATTCACCTCACACATCGGCCTGGTCGATCCTTTGAGAATCCGTCACACAGAGACTGGCAAACCAGTGTCCGGAGAACCAAAATACACCCACCTGCACTGCACACGCACATTCACACACCGCATGAGCCTACTAGGCCAGATGCGCATCTATGAAAACCTGTAGAACACCACCGGCTGAACGATAGCACCACCGCATTCCTCCTCAGCACCACGACCACGCCCAACACGGCAAAACGCCTGTTTGCAAACGAGAACTGTCACATATATGGGAAGTGTGATGCTCGATGCTTTCTTCATGTGGCTCCGTTGCGCCAAATGCCGTAGCCTGGAAGGTTGCCAATTGACGACTGCACACAGACCTTGCAGACAGCGCCTTCCTGACGCGACCACTGGCCCTGTCACGCATGTAAAATGTGAGCCGCTCACCTACCTTTGTGTGCAATCTTGATGGT